CTATCAAGCAAACGCTTTAACTTTAAATATCCCTTGTAATCATCCCGGAATCATATCTCGCGAAAACTATTTATTCAGATAAAATCCGTAGAACAAATATACCTTAGTTATTTAACTGAGGGAAAAGTGATTTTTGAAGATACGATTAAATACTCTGTTTTACAGTTGGACGAATATGAAAAATTACCACGCTAATAAAACCATGAAGTAAACATTTCCGCCAATATTTCTGACGATATTAGATCATGCAGTAAAATGATAAGTGTTAATTTTAAATTAGAACTTCCGCTGATGAAATATTTTCGTTAACCGAGCTGAAGTGTAAACTGACTGCGGCCGAAAATAAAAATAGGCAATATACTTATATTTATAATATATATAGAAAGAGTTTTTGGAATATGAAAGTATGCGACGTTTGTGTATGTGTGGGAAGTAGAGGGGTTAGTTAGCATATAAAGAACTTTTTCAGTGGATGTTTAAAAAAGAGACTGGCTTTATAATATGAAGAGAATTTCAAGCATCAAAAAGCGACACTGCAAACTCAATTAGTACCGTGTATACGGCGACCATAACTCAATACTAGCTGACCCTTAAATCAATCTGCTCCTATGAATATTTAAACTTCCCCGGGTAATATTGAATATTTTAATATATTATGTGATTGGACAGGAGTTAAACATTAATCATCAAAATGGTGTTGATATAAAATGTTTGTTAAGTGAACGAGGTTGAAAAAAGATTGATTGAGGTTGGTTTTTTTCTTTCGATTTTAGGATTCTGTAATCCGTTCTGTAGTTCTTGCGAGTCTAGTAACAGACAAATATACAAACGCTGTATATTTGTCTCTTACTAGACTCGCAAGAACTACGATAGATAAAGAGGTAAATATTCACGAATTGAGCTTATTGGTTGCTGCTATAATATAAAACAAATTTCGTTTAGAGCAAAACAAATTTGCTTTAATTGGGTCTTGGGTTCAATTGCTTGGCTCTTCTACTAGTATAAATATTCAGGCACATCACAATATTTAATTGTTTTAATTACTTTTGGTTTTTAAACGGTTTTATTTAGCTCGACCTGAACAGAATTTATTTATTTGGGTCAAAATTAGAAATTGAAATTTGGTACACAAATTCAATTTAGATGAAAATACAATATAACAAAAACCATTATAAATCCAAGATGGTTGCCGATACAAATTGGAACCCCTTAATTTGGGTATCAAATGAAAGGGCTACTAGTAAAACACGATGATTTTGGCAACTTCGTAGTTTTCAATGCACAAAAAATAAAACCGCTTTAGTTAAAAGTTTTTTTAAGTTGATACTTGTTCTTCACTCAAAGTGACGTAAACATTGGAATAATATTCCATAACATGTTTCTTTCTTATATCTACAAAGGACGTATATTACATGATAATCGCAGAATATAATCTGAGATTAAGATCTAGTCTTCCGGTACTTGGGTCATCATTCCTTAACCTTGACTCACAGTGACAAGTTACCTTGGCTCTCAGTTCCTCACCTTGTCTTGCCTTGACTTGGCTTGGCACTGTCACCTGTTTGTCGCATGATTAAAATATCATTAACTATCTACGCCGAACTCCATTCGATTCGTAAATTTCAGGTATGTCGTCTAAAACAACTGAGATTCTGTTTTTAAAATTTAGTTATGCTTCGACTAAATTAGTAAAGAATAAAAAAACATTTAGAACTATTCAAAGCAATTTTACAATTAGTAATACTAAATAAATATTGCCCATAGCTAACGCGAGTAGTACATATTTAAATAACACACTTTAACATTTTAAAACGTTCCCGAAACGTCGGGCCGTAGTTATAGTAAAATTAGTTTACTAATATATTTCGCGTTTAAGTATTTAATCCAAATAATATTAATGCTTATATTTGAATATGGTATAGATCATAGCGTTTAGTTTGAAAAAAAAAGCTAAGGCACTTGCTGCTCTAACCATGGACTATGCTCTGGTAAATTGCTTAAAGCCGCGCGATTTAGAATCTAAAGAGATTTTTAATGTATTTAATGTTTAAATAAAGAGACTAAGTCTTCAATCATTTACATTTTGGATTGCTATATCTAATAATAGTCGAATAACTATTAAATATTTCTTAGCCTCTGATTCATTCAAATCTCTGACATCAAATCGCTTATAGCTTTTATTCTTTCCATAAGTCAAACTTAAACAATTAAAAACTGTTTAAAATAATATATATATAAAACTGAATAAATATATTGAAATAACATATTTCGTATATTTGAATAGATATTTTTTACAACAAGAACGAAAACATGAAAAATGTTTGGTGTGTGTAATTTACCTAAGTTTTTCATATTATATAAAACACTTTTAACGGTTTGAAATGAGACATCTATTTGTTCATTAAGTACAACTCTATGTTTCTGTTATTTATAGCAACTATTACTTTAAACTGTTTAAAGCGTTTTATTTAGTCAGAGAAGTAAATTAAAAAATGATTCAGATAAAATCTTAATTCGTTTTTTTTAGTTCGTTTATTTGACTATAGTATATGTTGACGTGAAACTCTATTTATGTAACGAAAAGTTTTTTAAACGCTTGTTTCAAAAATGCGATATTTATATAGGATCTTGATTGCGTTATATCTCTTGGCAGCGTGAGATCAAAGAGATCTCAAATATTTCGTTGAAAACTTGAATGTTTTTTTTTAACGGAACGTGCAGATTTTAATTAAAATAACATTGATTTTGACGGCTTTGTGGGAAAAATACTTAGGAATTATTATAATTTAACAATTTGCTTATACTCTTAAACATCGACAAAAACAAAAGCGATATTTACCAACCAAAATATTTCGCGTTCTCAACCGATACATTGCTTTATTTGAATATTTACTACTCGCGTAATTACACACATTATTTAATATCTATAAAGTTATTAACTCATTCTCCACGCAACTTAGCTGCTAAGTATTTACAATATATTTTGCGTTTTAAGCCGTTAAAAGTGTAGTGTTTAGGTCTGCGAAATGTAACGGCCATTACGAAAACCCTTCGCATGATGTTTAAAACGATGACGATACTTCAGTCGCTGGCTTCAGGCCAATTTATCATATCTATTATTTTTATAACTAAAATGATAAAAGAGAAATGGGGTCGTGAGGGGTATATTAAGTGTATATTTTATTTGTTTTACGTAAGATGAGAAGAGAGTTACATATAAATAGAGGCTGCCAGCGACTTTGTCCGCGCGAAAATATTATGCGTTATTTTGGGCTGTTAAATATTTGGTTTTGTAAACCTCGACGTCGGTCGCGTCCCGTTTTGCATGTTTACCTAAAAAAATTGACATGTATTGTCGTGGATTTTTTAGTATATTTCAAGAGATATAATTCTGTCATACATGTTTTTTGGATATCTTGAATCGTTATCGCAGCGCCCGCAACGGAAGTCCACAAATATGATTTTTTTTTCCACATTTCTCACTCTTTCTTCGCTTCTATTAGTCTCAGCGTGATGTTATATCTTATAGCCTACCTCGATAAATCCTCTAACCAAAACAAATACAATATTTTAACTCAAATCAAATCCTGAGATTAGCGCGTTCAATCAAACAAAGCAACTCTTGAATTTTATAATATTATAACTTTATATATATATATATCCATTTTTTTTTATTATTATACTAGCTGTGCCAGAGACTTCGTCCGCATGTAATATTTATTTTAGTCGTCAAAATTTGTGTTTTGCGAACTTGGAGAAAGTTACATCTGTTACCCACGACATTCGTATCCCGTCGTACGCGTCCCGTCGTTCGGGTCGTTCTTGCAAGTTAATCTTAAAAGATAGACGTATAGCACCGCGGACTTTTTTTATATATCATTTAAAGAGAAATGATCCTTTCATACATATTGTTTTGGTTTCTTGAACCGTTTGCGCAGCGTACGCATCGGGAACCCACAGAGATGGAAAATTTCCCCCGTTTTGTTCAAATTTCCCGATGTACCTTCGTTTCTATAAGTCACAGCGCGATGTTTTATAGCCTTCCTCGATAAAAACTCTAACACAAAAAGAATTTTTAATTTAAACCAGTCGTTCTTGAGATTAGCGCGTTCAAACAAACAAACTCTTCAGCTTTATATCTTAGTATAGATTTATATATAAACTTAATAAAACAAAAAAAATTGCATATTTAATGTCTTAGTGACTTAATTTACAATAAACGGGCCAAGAGCGGGTCGGGTTTCGCACGACGGGTTCTGTTGTAGTGTTTGTTTATAAAAATTTCTTAATGTACTGTAGTTTTTAAATTTCCAGTTATTTGATATCGAATAAACATTATATTTTTTGTATGGAAGCTCATAAACGAGGTTTAAATAAAAAATAGGTAATTTTCTTTTTTAAGTTAAACGGCTTTATGTTAAACATACATGGCAATGTTTAACTTAAAAAAAAATTACCTATTTTTATTTTCTAGTTTTGAGTTATTATTTCGTATTCTATTTAATTCATTTAGTGTTTGTTGGTACTTGTTGAGACCTTTCATTTGATACCCATGTTGATGGGATTGATAAAACCTACGTTATCCGCCATTTGGTACCGGCCGCCATCTTGGATTTATAATGATAATGAATAAACATAATTGTATTGTCACCAAAACTCAAAGTGTATACAAAATTTCAGATTAATCGGTTGACAGGAAGAGGGTGAAATTTGAATTACTAAATTTGACCCAAGAATAAATAAAAAACAAACGAGGTGAGCTAAATAAAACAGTTTAATAAAGTTAGGTAATAGTATATATAGTTTAAGTAGAAATATAATAAAAAAATAGGTTATATACGCCAAAGAAATCGCGCTTCTTGTTCTCTTGTGTGAACGATATTTTCCCTTCATTTGTTTTTACATACACACAAATCGTAAAAATCTCACCCTCCATCTATCACGGTTCTTGACATACAGCCTGGTGACAGATAGACAGCGAAGTCTTGCTAACAATGTTCTTATCCTTCACGCACGGAACCCTATAAAATGATTTCCTTAAAATAATGTCGTCGCGCGTCAATCAGATTAAACATATGTAACATGTTCCACCAGACGTCTCGTCGGTCCTTGGCAGTGCTTCTTTAATTTAATTATAACTCGCGTTTCTGTCAAAATCGTATACACGTTGGCAAGAGATGTGGAATAAAAATAGCATGGACATTGAAAAATACTACGACCCTACTGCGGTAGGTGGAACTGTCGCTTTAATTGGACATAGATCATTCATTAATGTGACATCCCATTTTCCATACTCGGGGCCGACACACAACCACAAAAATTCAATCAAAATACTATATCATCACCACAATATTACAAAATCAAATTTAATTTAAAGAAATTCCACACACACCACTCCACCACAAGTTGAACAGGGGGTTTGCAAAAACAGACTTGACGCCCAAAATAATTATTCTATGCGGACGAAGTCGCTTTCTCAGCTAGTAATTGATAACAAGAGATATATTTAAATTAAACCCTTGAACGGTTTAAAATTCGATATATTAGTTAAACTAATATATCGCGCTTTAAACCGTTAAAGTGTATTATACAATGCTAAGAATGTTCTTAAAGTTTATTTTTTACCAAACACATACACATATTTCTGGGACTGTTGATTAGGTTTGACGAGAAATGGTTTAAATTCTCTTTGAAAACATTTCTTAACTACTACAGCAAGGTGAAAATATTTTTAGATTACATGTTTTAAAGCAACAATTTTTGTTTAATATTTATGATTTTTTTGCGTAATTAATTATTTAACACGCGAACATTACCGTCTATTGTTACAGCGTCAAGCCCGTTCGGTTAGACCGCACGTATAAACAAATCGTTAACTAACCAAGGTTACTGTAAACAAATCATGCAAAACTGAAATAGAAATGATTAATTGATTCCCCTCTTATATCTTTAATTCAGGATTTACGTTATTTATCCGACAGCGACGAATGTATTATGTTTTTCGTAATTTTTTTGGTAAATAAACAAATAAATTTAAGTAGAAAGCAAAAACTCACATTACTAATATACCGTAGCTTAATAACTACACGAACGAACGAAACAATGTATTATTTCGCCAGGATATGAACCCGGTACTTCTCGCGTTTAAAGCGCGCCTTCGACGATTTAGATTAGGTTCTATTTGATGTGAATACAATGCTTTTTCAAAAGTGGCGCAATCTATCTGTCTTGGAACTATTTAATAATTACATTTGCATTTAAATAATATTAGTAAATCGGTAAGTAGCAAGCAATTTTATTGTTTTCTGTTTGGTTAGTGATTATACTTTTTGACACAACGCAAAGCAGTGTAAGGCTAGAAATATCTTTCTCTAATCTTGCATCTGCGAAAGCGGATTTAGAGCTTCTATCTTCAGATAAACACCGTATTTACATAGCTGAAGAGATAAATACTCTGTCCAGCTTTAAGCAGGAGAGGTCCTGGGTTTGAATATATATGAGGAAATAGCGCGTAAATAAAACAACTAGTGAAACGTAAATAGGAAACTGTTAGCCCGTTTTCCTCACAGGAAAATCGGGAATTTACTTTACTATGTCTTGTTTATGTTAGAAGTTACCAATAATTCGAGAAGTAAACAATACTTTCATAAATTTCGAAACTGTTTGTGTTGTGTCTGAAAGTGCTGTTAAGTACTATATTTAGTTTTCTAATAATTTCGCATTTTAAACCGTTAAAAGTGTTTTAATTATTTTAAAAATCTAAGGAAGCGGTGAGACAAATATACAATATGTATTACTTAATTATATTAGATTTTCAATGATGGATATGCTTTTTGTCTTGACATAAAACAACAGAACAAAAAAACTAGTTATATGTACACATTTATTAAATACACATGGAGTTTAACATTTTGTGTTATGTTTAGGTTTTTATATGGTATATTGTGCATGTATGACACCATCTATAATGTTCGTATGTTTATATGTACGAGTATATGTATGGTATTAAATTACAAGCTTAGTTAATAATTGTGCACTCAAACTATGTGCGTGTGTGTAACTGGACGAAAATTAACGTATATGTATAAAAGAGGTTGGCTATAAGTATTTACCTTTTCAGGAAACCAAGGCGTGATGAAAGGCATTTGAAAAGTATTAGCATACGAGTGGAGGGTGTCGAAGGAGTCTGATGGAACAGAGCCCAGCATGGCCACCGCACCTCTTATATACTGGTTGCAAACTGTAAAAAAGGTAGCATATTAATTACTTAAAACGCGAAGTATATTACTTAAATTCATCTATAAATTATTTTAACCAAGATCCGACGGTGTTTTGTTTAAATACCAGGTACCTATATTAAAACATAATATTATTTTTTGTTCCTATAAGTACATACTTGGATTTTGCATAGAACTTGGCACTATTTCGATCTCCATTCTTTTTACGGCGAAGCAAATCGCAATTTTTCTTTTGTACTCGGCTCCACTTTTTTACATAATTTATGTTTATGATGGGATCACACCTTACATAAACTCACTCTTACCACGCAAAGCTCCAATTGCATTATAAAGCGTTCTACCGTGCTATGAAAAGTATTGCGATAAAATTCCTAATGTCGCTCGTGTATGTAAAAATATTTATATGTCAGCCCCCCGACGCACGCGCGCCTTAAACAGATTATCACGCAATCACAGTGTGCGTACGTAAAGATGTCGCCGTGAATCGCTTTGATTGCTTGTTGTATTAAGAAAACTGGCACGGTAAGACAATATAAGACTCGGACAGCGACACTGCTATTGTTTTGGCTAATGTATTTGCAACATGCTATTTTCACCGTTTCTGAAACTCCCGTGATCTCCATCTCAGTCATGAGACGGAGAAACGAAGACGAGACGTTCGAAATCAAGAAGGCGTCTATTTAGTGATTCAACTTCTTCATTCATTCTATGCTGATATATTGTGTCCTGTTGGCATACGGTCTCTTCGAGCGTCGATTTCCTAGGCGCCACATCTTTCATTCTACTTAAGAATGAATGATATAGCTGATTTCAGATCTACAATATATTTCCTGTTTGAAGCATTCAAATGACTCTGACGATGGAGCAAAAGCAAACAACAAAAGTCATTCGAGGAGGCCAAATCACTCATTCATTCATTTCAAAGGGCGTCGATTAAAGTTAAGTCTGCTAAAATCGAGATATTTTCGGGCAATTCTTGTATAGGTAAATATTACATTGTGCATTTAACGCCATCTGTAGCAATTACAAAAAACACACACAATGCATTTTCTCGATGGATCAAACGCTCAATCGATCTGTTAAAGAAGTTAATTAAGGAGCCACTAGATGGCGTTGTGTGCAATATTTGTTGAGTTTTAACAATATTTTTAAGAACGTTACCCAAACATCTTTATAAATTTTTGCAGATTCAACGCTTCAAATCGCTTATCTCGTAATAAAGCTTTTTTCCTCTCAAGTTACTAATAATAACGACATTGATAATGCGGGTAGAACGCAAGACACTTGTTGACAAGCACAAAACAGCTGAACTCAAAATCGTCTTTATTCACACATTCTCGTAAAACAAAGAAACTCGCACTGCAAACTTGATAGAATAATACGAACTGTATAATTTTCACTTTGTTTGTCTAATAATTGGCAATATCTCAAACAAACGAAATATGTATAATGATACAACCAACTGTCACCTCTGCGTTGTTCTTTGACCCGGGATTCTTAGTCAAGCCTACTAACCAATAGACTAACCAGACTTTTGTTGATCTGATCAGAAAATTTTTAGTAATAGTACTGTGTGTTGATTAGGTGTACCATGGATAGACTGAAACATGTCAGCATAATATAAACATGTAATTTTAATTGGCGAAAAAAAAATACATTAGAATTCAACGTTCAACGTTCGCCGTTCGAAAGTATTTAGTACAGCAGTTCGTTTCGATGTTGAATACAATGAATATTTCCATTTTTCTGATCAATTGCATTTTTTAACAAGTTCAGTTTTAAATTTTCAAATTCAGTTCAAATTTTTTAACAAGAGCAGTTCACTGTTTACCCAGAATTCAAACCCAGGACTGTGCTTAACGCAACGCGCCGCAACGCCTTTAAGTGAACCATAAGATAAAAAATTCTATCGGTTTACAAAGTATGACATTTTAATTAACTGTTTCTTCCCTAGATGGCGTTAAAACTACGTAGATCATGCAATCAAAGTATTGTCCACTTTACATAAGTACTAACTGAAACCAATGTAACTTTGACTTGACTACTCCGAATCACTTCTTCCATTTTAATTTTGAAGAGGTGGTTCGAGAATACTCTAAGTCCCCCAACCCCCCTAAACTCGCATAAAACATGGGTTAAACGATATGTACTATATGTATGCAAATTTTTTAAAGCCTTGAAAAAGGCTAATAAACTATTAATAAGATCGGATTATACCGATAAATACTTGCTACGTGAGGTTAACTCATACAGTTGTTCGTATTAAACATTGTATGTTCGTAATGAATAAACTCTAAAAGTATGGAGCCGATTAAAAAAATCTTCTACTAATAAACTATTCATTGCTAGAAATGATTAAGGATCCTTACGAAAACTTTTAAACGAAATCTATTGTGTAAAAAAAATTGCTATTGTACGCCTTTCGGTGCACGCGCTGCGAAATATTTTGATTATAGAACAAAACAATGTGCTACGATTTTGTAGAACGTATTATCTAGAAAAAATGTTGTGACACCATATTATGCCGAATTAGTTGACAACTTCGTCACTTTATGAAAGGTTGTATCGATTTGACATGAGATATAACGGCGAGCATATGCACGAAAAGGAATTTACCTGGTTGTATACTAGGAAAAAATTTTGTACCCTAGAAATTATACCTAGAACACGTAGAAATTATAGTATCTACGAAATAAACAAACAATTTATTCCAAAACCTTCCTGGACAAATAAAAAATTAGAAACCCATAGAGAACGTGACTAATATCGATAACACCGTAATTTAAACTTCCAAAACTAAAAAGTGCTTTTAAGGAATTTATTCATTTTATAATTAAATATTATCGTTTGTAAACTAACTTATTTAATTAAACTCTCGTAAAAATTTAAGAAGACGTTTGGAAGTGTGTGTGTGTGTGTGTGTGTAATTGTATAACTTCTGAAATGTTTTTTTTTAATACTAATAAATACCCGAGGCGCACTGTTTGTATTTAAATGAGACCCTTTTAACTAGATTAAAACTCGAAATGTTTTACTATGATCTGACGGTTTGGATGCATTGTACCAGCTGGTTCTCGCATGACTATAGTTGAGGAAAAACATTCGCGTTAGTTCCGTTTAAAAGTTGTTATTTTTAGGCAATGTTGTTTAAATATTTTTTTGCATCAGAAAAAATGAATGCAAGAAGCTCATTGAACATTATTCTAAAGCTTACTGCAGTCAGGTATTTTGCTAGAAATTTGGCTTGCTTTATTTTGCCTTTGCTCCAAACTACTGTGTGTAACAAAGAATAATTATTCAAATTATACGCGTCAACAAACAATTTAACTACAGTACCTATAAACTCTCTATTACGATAATTAAAAAACCGAACATTTTTAAGTAAATATCACTATTTGTTATGTATCAACTAATTTGTGTAGCTACCTCCAACGCAAAATTGGGATCAAATTTTAATAGCCTTTAATACAATACGAATAAATGATTTGATTGAACTAGTCAAGCCTTGATACTTAAAAGAACTTACAAACTATTTAGTTAAACGTGTTTGATTTAAATAATGTTGCTGCTTGAATTTGAAACTTAGTAAAGCTGGCTTGGTAGTTGGTACTTAGGATCTTCATAACAGCTTCGTAGACCAATCAGAAACATATTTCATAAAACTTCTCTACTTCCCTTAGTCGTTTTATTGAGAATAATATTGATAGTACTTCATTCTACAAAAGAAGAAGTTCGTAAGCTTGGCTTATATTGTCCGAAGTTAAGCAAAACTTTCTAAGAATCAAGGCCGTCAATCGCTTGTGTAATATGTGTATTATGCTCCTTGGTTTAATGATAACGATGCGTGGTACAACATTAACGGGTTGCAGGACGTAGGTTCGATCTCGATCGGGTCCAAAATGTTTTTAGTCAATTTATGTCAAACATTTTAGACTTTGGACAATTTGGACTTTCTGTTGGTGGCAGGAATATTGCAATATCCGACCGCGTCACGAACCAGCGTCCACAGATAGCAGACAAGTATAATCGCGTTTCGGTTTCAGACTATAGACTTCACAATATCCAAGCCAAAAGGGTTCGCAAGCGCATCTTGTTCTAGTAAATGTTATATTGTTATGGCATTTTACATATCATCAAGTGAAAGTGGGTTTTTTAATTTACGGTTAAACCTGTTTTCACGCCTAAAAGCGTTTCCGGAGAAACAATAAAATGTTTCGTTTAGACCGAACAGAGAAGTATTTCCGTCTACCTACAAATAAAGTCGTTCATTAAAACGTACACAATGTGTTTTCCCCATGCCCCTTCGGAAGAAATGGGATTTAAATTATTATTTTTATATTTAAACGATCACGCGCACGTCTCACAGATAACAAACCTAACGCAGGTGTATAAAATTATGTAAGCTATTTTAGTATTGTCTAGCGCTATTTAAAATTATTTGGCCAAATTCCATAAACAGTTATATACTATGGCCTTATTCTATATCACTCGCTTTCTGGAGACAAATTACTGAAGATAAGTGACGAGTAATAATTTTACGGAACAGACATATTTTTATGTCCCGCAAACCTAATTCATTTAACAGAAAACTAACATGGCAATAGCATTGTAATGATAAGATCAAAAATAATGTCATGGCCGGCTCTGTTCCATAGTTAGATTTTTCTCCGGGGCTTCAAACCAGGACCCATGGCAAACGTAATGCAAAGCGTTTAACGTTGCCTTTTTTATATTCGGAAATTTACAGACTGTCTTTTCACCTGTCAACGGTGGTTCGTGACCCTGAGGGAATCTACGATATTTTCTATCGCTCGTTTACTGTCCAGATTTCTAGCCTTTGATTAAATTTGAAATTTATTAAAAAGTTGGGAACAGATCAACCCTGTTAGTTATTAGCCATACGTTGCGACCAACGAGCTGTTCAAAATAAATCTATTTTTTCAATATTTTTATTCTATTGTGGCCTTCAGCTTAGTTTATATTATTTTGATGTATATTTCGGTACTCTAAGCCGCAGAACAGAAATCCAATTGTTAGGTCAATGTTATAAACAGATTTCCATTAGTCACTGCGAACGATCAATCAAACTGACAATAAGATCTATAGCTTTTCCAGCAGTACTTATTGACCAAATGATTATGTATAAATGTATTTTAGACGTATACGTATACGTCCAAATGTATATCTAGTTAAGATAGATTCCAAACACGACTGTGTACGATATAAGTCAGGCTAGTACATTTATTAGCGTTAACAAGTATCAACTTTAAAAAAAAAGTTTAAGCTAATCAGTTTTATTTTTTGTGCACTACAAGGAATACAAAAAAAAAATGACATAATCATCATGTTTTACTAGTGAAGCCCTTTCATTATCAAATGAAAGGGCTCATATCAAAAATATGTAATCCGCCATATTATATCGGCGGCTATTTTGATTTTATTATATTGTATTGTCATCTAAATTAAATGTTTATACCAAGTTTCCAATCAATCTAAAAATATGAAGGTGCTTAAATTTCAAGTTCTTTTCAAATAATCAACTTTAACGGTTTAAATTGTGATGCATATTAGTTACCTATTGGGAGACTGGGGCTGCTGTAAAGCATTCGAGACATCGGGCCGTAGTTAAAATAAATATATATGTAATAGATAAAATATATATCGCTTTTTAAAACGTTAAAGTGTTTTATTTAAATACTTTACTTTAGCTTTATAAAAGTGTGTTTATTTGTTTGTTGCTTAGTCTAAAATTCGCTTTGGATGGAACATTTATGGTTGTAGGCCTTAGGCTATACACCATCATGCTGCAACCAATAGAAGCGACGACACAGTGAAAATTTGGTAAAAAAATCATCTTTGTGGCCTTTGGTTCAAAACACCAAGAATATGTATGAAAAAATGTTTTTTTAAATGTTAATCAGATTAATGCATCATTACTAATTATTTGTTACAATTGTATCGACATAACAATATTAATCTTGTGAACCACAAAACGTTTGCCGGATCAGGTAGATTGTAATTAAACATTGTTTCGTGAAGTATATAATTTATTGTATATATTATTTTCGTAATAGTATTATATTCTTACATGTATTTTTATATATGTGTTCCTGTTCAAATTTTATAAGATGTATATCGAAAATATTTAAAATGGATAAATTATAATATTTTAAATGTATGTATAAGTGATTTTCTTGTGACCTATTGATTCTACATATTTCTGTTCTCTATCAAACGAAAACGAGTTGCGATATATTCCCGGGAATTTAATCCTGCACTTTTTTCCGTATACGTAACGGCGTATTTTAGCAAAACATATTTTATAAAATATATCTCATTACCTATACGTCGTTCGTACGTTAATTTGGAATGTATTATTGTCTTTTTTGGAAGTCTTATGAATATAATAAGGGAAAATTTTAGTATATAGCAAATAAGTAAAGTAATAGAAAAATACACAGATGGCGTTCTTGATAATTTAATATCATACTAAACGGACACATAAGGATATTTTCAAATACCTAGAGAAGTGATTGAATTTCAGCTTCACTACATACAGAGAGTTTCGATTCATTTTCTTATCCTAAAATAGAAATACTTTGACAAACCTACAGTTTGTAATCCTTAATAATTTCGATGTTAATATTATGATTATTTAGTGAGTTCATGTGACTAGATATAAAATATAATTCTGTTAGTTTTATTTGTAGTTATAGAGCATATAATAATATATAAGTAATATACTCTTGTTTGATATATATAAAGAGATCGTTCAGAGTTATGATTAACATAGATACAGACACATATATCAGACGAATAAATATACTATATCATAATCTATGATTTAGATAATTTAGATAAGCGACATCTGTTGGATATAGTTAAAGACACAATTTATTTCGATGCTTCTAATCTCGGGGACTGGCCGCGTTCAGAATTCGGTGAACTACCACCAGACGCACTTTGAGGACTTCTGTCAACCTGAAAAAAAAAGATCTTTGTATCTACTCATTAAAAGATGGTACAATAGCATTTGAAATCCTCCTTTTATTAATTTCAAAGAGACCTACCAATTAAACAAATAATAAAACGTTAATTTAAAAATACTAATAATTTAATTTATGTGACGACTATGCATTTAAATTAAAGGTATCCACAACGTTGCTTTAAAAGAAGATAAAATATACGGGAGTAAACTTAAATGCGTAATTTAAAAACAATATTATCGAAGAACAAAGTATTTCCACATTTTATCAAATTTGGCATTTTATCAAATTTATTTAAATGGGTGGTATGAATAAAAAAAATCCGTCCGGGTCACGAACCACCGTCCATAGATGGAAAAGCCGTGATGGCATAATCGCGTTTCGGTTTCAGTCAGGGGATTTCCGAATATCCAAAATCAAGATTGACAGCGCATTTAGTTTAGATGCTACAGGGGTATACACCTACCATCAAGTGAATCATAGGCTTGTCTGTCCACCTCTACCATTAAAAGAAATATACAGTATTGTTTATTTTAAAAACATTATTATATAAATGAATAATCTGTTGTAACGGAGCATTCAGACCGTAATTATTATTGCATGGCTTTATATGCATAGGGGGAAAAAAATTCTAAGACGACAAACAAGTGGGACGTTGGCCTATCTGAGATATTTTCGATTTTTTAATTATACAATTGGTTGGCAAGAAATCCAAAGTTATTATCCAAGAAATAAGAAAAAATATCGGTTAGGGCATCGATGTATGATCAACTAGACACTAGCTTGTACATTAGAAAAAGAAAGATCAATAAACCTTACCTGCAGGCCAGTATGGAGCATATTTGCAATCGTTTCGACGTCAAGAGTCGAGTCCTGGGCAGATATCTTCTTAATAGCAGAAGATACGATGCATATATCACCTCTTAATTCGCGTACCAGGGCTGTTATCTTCTGTGCGTTGCTTAATACTTCTACACTTTGAGTATACGGATTGTAACGGACACCAAACGGACGTTGGATGCTTTCAGCAAAGGCTCTGTAAAGAATGAGCAATAAATAAAAATGTGGGTGGGACTTACCTACAAGAGGAATAAAAGAATTGAGAAAATGATATATTAGTTGAACATATTTATTAACTACGATCCCACCTTTCCCCGTGACCACGGCAATATTTTGTAAATAAGTTGAACTAATATTTCAAGTTTTAAACCGTTAAAGTGTTTATTTAATTTGCATATTTTATTCATAGTGATTTTATATATAGCATTGTAATGCTTACACAATTTCAAACCAATATTGCTTTTGAGTTTTATTACAAACATACACACAATAATATTAATATTAGTAAATTAATTGTACCTCATTTTCTCCTTGGCCTCTTCAAAAGAATCCGTGTAATAATAAGCGTTTTGATACGCTGTAATTATACATTCTTCGTTCACTGTTACATCGGGATCAAATCTCTTGATCTTTTCGGGAGTGGTTATAGCGTGTTGCAATTCAGCCACAGACGAGAGGAGACCGGCTCCATACACTCTGAAGCTACCGTCAGCTTGACGGCAGAGACCAAATTCTACCGTGAAGAAATATAGCTAGAAAAAAGTAAAGTTATATTATTTTCATAAACTAGACTAACGAGATAGAAGCAGTCCTTTCTCAACTGGATCTTTGACTTTATGGTTAGTATCTAAGTATAACCGTCAATGGATCGTAGGTTCGCTCCCCACCAGGTCTAACATGTGTCTAAAAATCTATATATAATTATTTTTAACGAATTAATTCATCTTCAAAAATCTGAAAGTTCGAGAAAGAAATATCGAATATTCGTCCGGATCACACCGCATCCTTTTTTGGTCTAATTTGACTGAGGTATTTTAGTTTCCATTTCCTATGTGTGATCTTTTTATAAAAATATCTAAGATAACGTAAAAATAATGACTTTGACACTTTGAAAAATGCCAAGATACCGTGTATAGTTTTTACGTAAAGTATTTACCGTAGCCAATTTATCGATATCTTCATCAGATGCACCGAGGGATGCTAAGCCAAGCTCTTGCGAGAATTGGGCAAAGCTGGGATTAGCCAGCAGTGGCATATGACCCAAAAGCTCGTGGCAGCAATCCCTACAATAAAAGGAAATAATGTTAACGAAATAAATTTAAAGTTTTAAGAAGAAATTTACGATACGGGCGGGACTTGAACCGGCATACACAACATTTCGTGCTGCTGCTCTAACCAATTGACAAAAAATGCCAATAATAAAGTAAATACTGTCTGTAGTTTACGCGAGAAGTACCCATTTAAATATAACACGAACGGTTTAAAACGCGATGTACGAATCACCGTGAGACCCCTATCCTCCCGTGATCACGGTTGTAGAAAAATAATTTCCAAATACGTTTAACTAATATACATCACGTTTAAAACCGTTAAAATATTTTATTTACATATCAATGAATTTTTGGGAACTATATTTATATAGTACATGTTGAGTAACAAACTCAATAAGTTTATAATTATATGGTTTTACCTAAAAAATATTTTTTTAACTCATATTCTGTTTTCTTCGCCTTTTAACCCGTTAAGCGAGTTTTATTAATATAACTAACTAGTTAACAGCCGTTGTCAGAAACTGCTAATTATTACAAACGAATCTGTAATAGCGCAAATAAACCACAAATATAATTATTGACTACATTCGTGTAGCTGAATTCACTAATACATTTATTAATTTACACATACACTGTGGCTAAATTGATAATTTGAACGTGACTTTCCTGTAACGCTCAGGTTATTGACCTGACATTGAGGGGCTCTATGTACATACGAGTAGAATAACCATAAATGATCAGATATATATAGGCAAAGGTCAAGATCTCAAATTAGTATTAAAAATTAATTTTAGATTGCAAATTCGATATCACGGTCGGGACTCGAACTCAAGACAACAGCGTTTCGTGCTGCTATACTGTGACCAATAGCAGCGAAGAAACAGTGAAAAATATGGAAAAACGGGGAAATACGAAACCGGGTTAAGAAACCAAAAAACATTTATGATAGAATGATTCCTCTTTAAATGGTCTACAAAAATACGCGGTAAGTATAATATGTTCTTTTTTAACATTGTAACAAATACAATTTATAAAGCTCATCAAATGTCATTTGCAAAAAAAAAATGTATACCCAAAATCACTATTCCACGTGCCAGCTAGCATTTTTATAACTACTTACGGTTCGGGAGTATAAAATGGATCCGACGAATGTCGGATATACTGAGTGCAATGGAACACTCGAAACGCAAGACCCGACAAGAAATCCCTGGCTGAAAGGTATCCAGCCACCGGCCGAAGCGTGAAACCCGTCTTACGCTTCAGAAAAGTGCTTAGATCCTCCAGCTAAAAACAATACAATTATGAAGGTAGTTTTTAATTATTATAATTCGTTTTGTTTAACTACATCTTTTATCATCTCCATTAATAAGTTTAAACAGAATTGTTAGCATTTTTTTTAACTACTTATTAAAATTTTGCAAGTAAAGCTTAACAACGTTCTGGAATCGCCAAATCAAAACAATTGGCGTAGAAGAAAAAAAGAAGAAATTTATTGACTACTAAGGCACACAAAAACATATATCAGACTTATTACTAAAACATAAAAAAACAAAACAATTAAATCTTAACAGTATAACTTAATATTAACAGTATAAAATAATGGTGTCTGATGCTAGTAGAATAGGATCTTACTCAGTTTATATCGGGCCCTTTGTTGATCTGAAACTGATTTCTAGTAAATCCTTCGAGTGTGGACAGCGGTGCCACACGCAAGTGAAAGTAAACAAAAAAATCGCTGTTGTACAAATAAAAACACAGTAAACATTGCAGAAAAAATAAGTCGTGTCAAGCTGTAATGTAAGCATGTAACACATACCTGAGGTACATTATCCTCTCTGTATCCGCAGTATTTAACCAGTAGCGGCCAATTCTCTAGGTATTCTTCACAGGCGTGTTTCTGGTACAGCTTGTGCAGTTCACGGAACACAATACCCCTATAACACAGAACATTTTAAGCCGACACACCTAGAAAGTACAAATAACAGTAATGTGCAAGTAATCTACAATAATATTATAAAAGTGTTTGAGTTTGCTCGTTTCAATCCGCTAATCTTAAGACCCACTGGTTGGAATTGAAACATATTTTTGTCGATGGTTGAACCATTTATGGTTTTGGCTGTTTCTTGATTTAGATTGCCTCTTAGAAAAAATAAACATTTTTTGGAAAAGACTTTTGGCTGGGCAAATTTAATAAAATTAAAAACAAGGAAATTAATATACTTGAACCGTTAAAGGAGTTTATATTTAAATATTGGCACCAAAAATACCCCCATATTTGTTGTATCTTTTTTATTAAATTCTATCATTACATTGATAAAAATAGTATTCATTTTATATTTTAGTAGTAGTTAGCCCAAAAGGTCGTATTTTTGAACTTCCAAAACTAAAGCTGTTTGAAAGTGTCAAACAACCTACAAACTTGCGAAGTAAATAAGGGTAACGTCTCAGCTAACTTACATTCGAGTTGAGCTCTGATAAGTTAGAGTTAAGTGTTGAGACTAATCTATCAAGAACCTCATCAATGCTTAACTTTGATGTTCTCGCAACATATGGATCAACGAAAGTTTTAGTATTTCTATTAAACTAGTAACTGTTGTAGTGTTCTTGATTTTCCCGCTTCGCAAAATTATAATATAAATTATAATCAATGTCGAGATTATGCGCCTTTAAATGAATGAGCAAACTCTTAACAATTTGTAATAATATTATACTGAAGAAGTGTTTACACTATTCATATAAAATATTTAAAACGATACGTACCATGTCTTTATTTCGACTTCAGTGTATTGTACTCGGGGTATTGGTTGCCCGCTAAACAAAATAAACGTTACTTGTTACATGACCATTGTAAACTATGTGTGCCTCTGTTTTTGTTATTAATCGAGAAACAATACAAACATAAAAAATATTGTTATATGAGATGATAATTCAGAAACCAATCGTAAAATAATTATTATTATTAAAAATGTTATATGTTACGATTTTTACATTTTTAAAATAACTGTCATTATCATTATTTAGAATATATGGAATCCGAGCCATCTATGCGGGCAAGTAAAAGGATTTCAAATGTACGCAAGCTCGGAGCTAAGATAACATCACTGTACGACAAATTCTCTAAGCCTCTATATGAGCGAGGTCTTATATCTTTTATTAAGGAATATATTTATAAAGTTAGTTATGTATTTATATAATCCATAACGTTTGATATGGTCAACTATCTTGAATTGTAAATATCAACAATGTCATATTTTAAATCATTATCTAACGATCGTCATTATTAGCTGTTTAATCGCCTCTAAAATTCAAAAATAGAACAAGAAACAAGTGTTTCAAATTATTACCAGGCAAGTATCAAAGGTTCGGTAGGCACTAGGTGTAACCTTACTGTTTATAGTTGTTCGCAATTGCCGCGAACTGTTCCCTTCGTTTGCGGTAGACGGGATCTTTAAAACCTGGATGATCTGCGTCTAATTCTGACCCGTACATCAGGACGTTCTGAGCACGATCCAAGTCGGCTATCTTGCGGGGAAACCAGGGCATCTCACCAAAATCTTGGAATAAGGATTCACGATAGTTACCAAAAGGAATAACACCAACAATCCGAGTTTGTTTTCATACACTCGAACACTGTGGACGACTTTATCCTCAGATTAGTAATAGGAATAATTAATTTTATGTCGTCTCATTACTAACTTTATAAGCACATATAAATTGTAAGAAGTTTGTGTTTTTTATCAATACATTGTAGTTCACGTTATGGATCCTAACTAAAAAAAACAATTAGATTACATAATTTAAAAGTTTACTATAAATTAAAAAAAATAAGACACGGGCACGACGTTAACCGGCATGCACAGCGTATCTTGAGGTGACCTACCTTCTAACCTCGCTTACCGAAACTCGCCGCAGCTGACAGTGGCGTTGGAGGCGGAAAGTCATCTCCAGTTCTTGAGGAGACCAGCTCGAAGTCCTGAACTTCTCTCTTCAGCATACGTTTCAGTTGTTCCATTATGCGTGGATCGCATTCAACGTCTACCAAGATATCAGACTGAAAATGCCGAGATTTCAGTACAATAAACATTATGCCATTTGACTATGGTATGCAAAAACGCGGAGAAGGAGATTCGATTTCAATGTAAAAAAAAAAACTCGTTTAAAAACGTCCAAACAAACGAAGCGAAAGTATTTTTATGTTATAGAACTGCAAATAGAAATAACAGATTTATTTTACTTAGAATTAGTATTGTATTCTTTTTTAGTCAAGGACTTCTTGGAAGATTTTGGCTTAGACAATTTCTATTAATTGATGTCATACTACATTGTCTTATACTTTGCCCATGAATAGCAGAATAATTCATCAATTTCTCTCTAAAAGCTGAAGATTTTATGTAGTAACATTTATTTTTAATGCAGAATTTCATTGAATAGGACACTAAATTAAATAAAAATTATTAAGATTTTCGTTTAAATTCTTTGCCCACGTCTGACAAGAAACGGATACATTACTATGTCCATTCCTCTGATTGATTTTTGTCATAATAACAACTGCCCCACTATGACAGTCATTCATAATTACATTTAAAAAAATCTATGTATTTTGAATAAAGTAGTGTTGATAGATTGCATATGCACAGTGCATACACTGTCGTCTAGATTACCATGTCTCACAGGAAAATAAATGTCAAACAAATCGCTAAACCGGCTTTGTAAGTAGAATTTTCCCCGGAAAATTCCTGTAAATGGCGAGCGGCCGCGGCGTCTGGCTTAAGCGTAGTCGGTTTTCTCGGAAAATCTCTCCCGTGAAGCGATAAAGGTTATCTGTTCAACTTGTTTAAAATTTGTTTATTTTATTTACACCAGCTAATTGTTATTGTGTCTCAGATAAATAAACCATTGAAATTTGTTTTCACCATTCTTATTTATAAAAGAAAATGTTTAATACGAAATTTTGCCTATAGATACAAACTTACTATTTTTATTAAACAATATTAACGTTTCGCAACGCAAGTACACTACCTAGTAGTTCGAATACCGGGAAAATGATACATTGTTTCGGTCGGGCAGGGCACAGAGGCCTGAGAGTCTTGTATGTAAATTAAATCATCTATTGAAATAGACACCGAAAAGTGTCCGCCGTATCCTATAGGAAGAAACGGGATATTACTTTTATATCGCAAAATGCTAAGGAAAATATTTATATGCATATATTTTTCGCAGATGTAGGAGAAATCATTTGACAAACCAGCAGCAGTAAATAATAAATTACTATAGTACTCTACTGGTATCTACTACTATATTGTTCATTGTATAAAAACGTTTAATTTAAAACGAAAATGTATACAAATTCAATTAAGTCAATTGCCATCTTTAAGAATTAAATGTTTGACTTTTAGATTCGATTTAAACTTTGCGAATATAATTAAAGAAAATAATAGTAGCGGTTGATTTTGTGACGCAAAGCCTTAAATTCTTCGGTTTAAATTGCACTGTAAAGATATTTAACATTTATCTTAGAAGAATTACGGCAAAACGATTATCATGGGAATCCAATAAAAAAATATTTTCTTAAATTTGGAACACTTTAAATAACGACCTTAATCCTTACTAATATTATAAATGCGAAAGTAACTCTGTCTGTCTTTCTGTCTGTCTGTCTGTTACTCTTTCACGCCAATACTACTGAACAGATTTGAATGAAATTTGGTATTCAGATGGTCCAGACCTTGAGAAAGAACATAGGCTACTTTTTATTGCGAAAAAGGGGTTAGGGGTTAAAGGGGGGTCTTTGGTTTTTTGATAATGGGAGTGGGAGTTAGAGTTAGAGTAGGAGTGATGTGGAAAAGTAGCACTTACAAGATATATTGGCTGCGATAAATGCTCAATTATATAAATTAATAAACAGCCTAAATAATTAAATATTCTACCCTAAGTCGCTATTCCATTCGAACGAAGTCGCGGGCACAGCTAGTTAATAATAATTCAAAGAACTCACAGCAGAAGTCTCAGTCGCCGATTTCCTCGACTCAATGTGGAGGACGTTAATCCCCAAATCCTGGAACACATTCAACACACGGACCAGCCCCCCCACCTGATTCTTGACGGTGAAGATCACAGACACCCGCTCCTCATGGTGCTGCGGCTGGTGCATTTCGCCTAACTTTGGATGGGGCGCCTCGTTCTTCACCTGCCAGTCACCACCATTTCTGTACAGCCAGAGGCCCAAGAGACCTTTACCAGACCCACTCATGATAGGTTTTGATGGGTCCAAAGACAGTGATTTACTGAGAGAAGTCCTCCCCGGGAACGCCTTATATAGAGAAGAGGCGGGTGCAGCATCAGAGGGTGGGTATATTTGATTGGCCGAATCAAGTGTTCAGTGTAACTTGGAAAATCTTTCACACCGTTAAGTCACGGATACACTTCGCTTGTTATTTCCAATCGTTTTTTATCACTTCATTTAGATAATGGAATCGCTAATACATTTATTGATAGAGAATTCATATTAAAATCGTTATAGGTACTGCTTTTATATATTGATTTTAATGTGTGCCTTTGTTAATAGTCTTAATTTAAATGAAACAATTGAAAAGGTTTAAAACGCGAAATGTATTAGTTAGGTTATTTATAGCAAGTGAAACATGTAATGCAGTAAGTTACTTAATTAACGACTAATATATCTCATTTTAAACCCTTATTTTTTATGATATTATCAATCAATAGAGATAATATTTGTAAAGGTTGTTCCATCTATTTATTTATATTTAATGTTATAACATCACAGTTAAATAAAGTTAAACATTGTCATAAGAAAACGAAATAATATTATGATTTAAAAAATTCATGAGTGTTAAATCAATTGAAAGTTACAAAGGCGCCTAAGTCACTTAATTCGCTTAACAGATAAATTGGTATACCTAGTATGCTCCAGGGTTACCCCCACGCGTCAAGTAGCCCCCATCTCATGAATTGACGGTTCTTATCGCTAGCCTGCTGTATTCATTACTGTTGTTTAGTGGATAGTGAATTCGTTGCCATATATTAGCGCCAGGTTTTCCTAAGAAAAGAAATTTATCTCTTTCTATTAACATATGACCTTCTGGTTCAATGGTTAAACGCCTAGCGTGGCTAACAGGACTAATAGAAGAGAAATTCCTCCAAAAGTCGAACTTTCTAAGGTTCTTATTTCGGAGAACTGCTAATAAATTATTTCGATCAAGCAGACACAGTATTCCGGTCAAGTTGCCTGCAAGACCGAAGAGTGCAAATGCATTTGCTTCATGTCCCATAGGGGGAAAACCTCCGCCACATATTATATTTAAGGGTTTGTATCCATCACGTCGTTTTAAAGCCTTCCTTCTCAATACTGGGAATCTACATTATTATATCAATTATCATTCAACGAATTTTTGACATACAACACAAATATTTTGGTGTACGACTGCTGATCCTACTAAAATTATAAACGTGAAAGTTTGTATGTGTGGATAGATGTTTGTTACTCTTTCACGCAAAAACTACTAAATGGATTTCAATTAAACTTTCCAATCATATAGCGTATACACCAGAATATCACATAGGCTACAATTTATAAAGAGTGTGAGCTGTCCAAAATATGACATTAAGTGTAAAGTAACTAGGAAAAACCTACCTTTCTGCGAATTATTCTGGCGTGCGCTGCCATAAACGTTATTATAAACATAATTTTGTAATGGAAGTATGATATGATAGACATCATTTAGTTTAAATGCGCGATACTACGTAATCCTAATCCTAATCCTGCGTAGACGAAGTCGCGGGCACCAGCTAGTGGACAATAAAGCCTTCAGATCTTCACAATGGGCTGTCGATATATTTTCAGCTTTAGGTGTTCGCTAATCAAAATACTGAAGCCCGATTAAACATGACAGACAATTTTAAATAAAACACTTTAACGTTTTAAAACGCGATATATTAGTTAAACGGTGTCTTCGCATTTGTCGGTATGCTGTTTATTGGGATCTAGAGTTTTTAATATGGGATTTCAGGTGTATGACAGACAATTTCTTTTGTAGACAGTGGTCCATGACGCATCTTTTTTATATTGACCATCCATTCAATAGCGGGAATCGAACCTAGAAGCAGTTGTTAATTACAGACGTTTTAACGAATTTATGGATAGGATGAACCCTTTACAATTTCAGACGTATATTAATAACTGTGTGAGGATGACTGTCGAAAACCCGTTTCCGTCATCCCCAGCGACCAACCACATTTACCGCTTCGTTAACTTCTTGATAATCTATTTTGAGATAATTCTGTTATCTGATAAACTTAGTTCTTGGAGATATTCGAAATTTGGCTTTGCATATGTTTTTGTGATAGAGGACAGACAAACATGCAGTTCACTTGATAGAAGGTACAATACCTTTGCCATATAACATCTAGACAAAATGCGTGGACGACCCGTTTTGGCCTTTGGATATTCGGAAATCCACAGACAGAGAGTAAAACACAATTACCCACCCGACTCGAAATTTATACGTTACGTATGCAAAAGGTAGTTATTAGTAAACCTACATTGCTCTGTTGGACATGTTGCCTAATAACGCGGTAAGACAGACGATCCGGGTTCGAATCCCAGCAATTACTAGTAATCGGTCCGTCAAAGCAAATAAAACCTTTATATATTTGAGAGATACATCGTGTCAACAAAAAACAACCCAGATAGCGATAAAAGCGCTGTACACACAAACGCGTTATTTTTCTCGTCTCCAAGGAAAATATTGAATGAAGACAAAATATTCAGATACAATATTAAATCACTTCTTGCTGACGGGGCTTTTAATTCGATTTCCTCAGAGACGCTGCAAAGCGCCACTCTAATTTGTGTCTATTGAATTTACTTCGTGCTTTTCTTTGTATCTGTTCTATTCAGTTCTCTTCAAATAATAGATGGATAACTATTTTTTTTTTAATACTCGATCCTTTCTGCATTTCTATATATACTTTTGTTTGCTGTGGCGCCCTCTAATTGTCTATAATGAGAATTCTTTAACGCATACAAAAACCTAGGTTGTATAAAGTTCCTTACATCTGAAGGACTCTTTTATCCAGCAGACGTCCCGGAACGCACGCTCCAAGTGGTCGGTCAACATCTTGAGCTGTCGTGTCAACAGTTGCACGGAGAAGATGGAACTCGATTTAGCTATTATTAAACGTAATCAATTTTAAGTCTTCGCAAATGGTGAAGTAAACGTATTAGTTAATTTATATAATTTAAAAATCGAAAATAAATTGAAAATTTTTCTACTCGGGCAGGACTTGAACCGACATCGTCAGCGTTCCGTGCTGTTGCTCTACCAATTGAGCTACCGAGTCAGTTAATTTATATATACAAATTTATCTATGGCCTGGTGTTTCGTATCCCCTTTAACAATCCTCCGAAAGTCGTATTAATTGACTCTTATAAACCGTTGAACCTGTTTTATTGGACAATTTTATTTATTTTTTAATTTTTCTCTACAGACAAAGAAGGAGTTTTAATCTAAATACTGTCTATAGTTTACGCGAGTAGTACACATTTAAATAAAACACTTTAACGGTTTAGAACGCGATATATTAGTTAAACTTATTTGAGTATGATTTTTAACTTCGGCCCGACGTTTCGGATGCTTTGCCGTGACCACGGCTGCTGCAAATTAAATGAGTTTTAATCTATCAAAGTTACGAAATCTATTGCGTTAAAAGTTAATTCACTTATTTTTATTTACTGCATTGTTAAAAAATGCATGTTTATTTTTTACAAATAAAGAAACATATTATTATAATACTATCCAAGTAAATACTTGTCTATCTAATCATTTGTCTTATAAATATAAGACATTGTATTTAAAATTACAATATTAATAAAAGTATTTTTATTTTATTTTTAACCTTAAAAGCTCTGATAACCATTCTACAACTTCATCATACAAACTTTACTTAAACTAGCAACCACGCACTACGCAAGTCCATTCATCAAGTTTCTGTCATTAATTTGGTTTTCCCGCTTATTCATAAACGTATTCATGTTAACAAGTATACAATAGAAGTGCGCGCGCAGCCCTGCGCAGAACCGATAAACACCCCTCGACTATGCGAGGGTCGATACAAATAATACAGTGCGATGCACGCATGCGCCGGCCTCTTCCCCAAAAATCAGATGTACAGACATGGCCGACAGCGAATTTGAAGAATTTCGCCGTGTATTTGACAAATTACCTCAGCACATCAAAGCCCCGACACCGTTCTATTCGTAAGTGCATCATCTATAATATTATCTTATATATAAATAGTACAGCTTCGTTGCTTTAATTCATTCCTTCGTATGGTGTTCACAGACTAGTGCCAAATGTCGGTTTGGAAGATGACTCTCCGTCATCGAAGAGTGAGGAGAGTCCGGAAGAAGATAGAGTGTGTGTTGGAGACGCAGAGGGGATAAAGGGAACAGATGGATCTCCCGTCGCTCAGGACACAACAGACGCACAACGTAGCCCTCGCCATCAAACGTTTACAAGTGGAGAGCGTAGAAGAAGAAAACTACCAGAGATACCGAAGAATAGAAAACGTAAGTCAAATCATTCGATATTTGAAAACGAAGCGATTTCCCTTTCAGCACATGCGCTCTGCGAATTGTTTATATATCGATGTTACTGTGCGAATACTTTGATCTTTTATTCATATGATCAATACTAAGAACCGTACGTATACTAATCAATCTTAAATATCATATTGTCGTAGAATATTATCTTTAGAAAATGTATCTGGAGAAGAAATGTCGTAACTACCACATTAATAATAGTATGACTTATGCTGTACACGATAAGATTTAGAGCTTTGTTGAAAATTATATCAGGTCTTTCAGAAAACACTAACAGTGTTTGTTGAATGTCTAGTGAAAAGTCGTAAAACATAAAACCAGGTTTTAAAGCGTAATAAAATATTTATTGTGCTATAAAACTAGCTATTACTAGTAAACAATTTACTACATTTTAAAGGTCCGATCAGCTAGAGAGGTTAGTGAATATTTATTTATTACAACATAAATAAAATAAGCGTAAAATAGAAATAAACACAAAAATCAAACGAAGCGTTAACATCTTAGCATGGCACTAATTTTCATAAAGATATCAAAATTATAGCAAATATTAACAATAACAAACGGATAGCACAACTAGACACTAACTTTAACTTTAATAGTTAGAGGAATTTTGACATTAGTATTATTTTTTTATGAGAGGAGAAAAGACATGATAAAAAACCTATAAAGGCATTGGCCTTTATAGGTTTATATTGATAAATTGGCAATTTAAGAACTGTATAGGCGAGTAGTACCTATATACATATTTAAACAAAACGCTTTTAACGGTTTACAACGCAAAATATATTAACTTATTTACAATTTATTTTATCTACATTCCGACCTTTTGGTGGTCACGGGGGGGCTGTAAATGTTAAAAGTGTTTTGTTTAACCGATTACCTAACTACCTGGGTTGTGAAATATGGTGAAGTTGAAACAACCCAGTCATAAAGCAAGTAAATAAAATACGCTGTCGACCTCTTTTAGCTTTGGACATACAAATATGTCCTACAATAAAGGTTGTTAGGATATCTTGAAATTCTATAGCATCACAGCTAAGATGCACCTTTGATTACCAATTTTCAGCCAATGTGGTGGGTGGAAGTCAGCCGGCGTCCCTCGCTGATGAACTAGGAGCATTAACTGGTCTTCTTGTGCGGCCAGGGTGCCAGGGGCGACCTTTACTAGTGCTTAAGTGCGGCTACCTTTTGGACGAAGACTCCAGCCCTGACTCCGAACGACTGCAAAGCCTTGGCGATGTGGATAGCGGGCATAGCACTGCGCATTCGCCCATTGACACCGGGCCTAAGAGCTTATCGCCGACGCCGTTACAACAGAACGGTGAGTAAATAATATTAATTGTTCTATGAACAAATATATCATAATTAAAGTATTTCAGATAACTGAGGAATCACAATGACTCAAACCCACGATCACATACTGAATTGGTAGAGCAACAATTCGTACTAGATTTTAAGCACTGTCTGTGACATAAAATTAAAGCTCTCGTGTGCTGACGCAAAGACGATAATATATACTATGTGGTGGTGTCCCTTGATTTTGAAAATTAGCTGAAACGGTTTCATTATAAAATGCTTATATAATTTTGCGAACATAATTAAAATAGTTTGTAAATAGTAAAAAAAGTAATATAACAAAATTTTAAATCAGTTTTCACCTATGTCTCTTCTCGCAAAGGAGAGAGTCATAAGAGATTAGACCCACCAAACTGCTGGAGGTGGTTTAAACGCTGCTGCTAAATTATTGGTAATAACCGGAATCGCAGGCTTAACATGCCCACCGAAATCCAAGTGTTCCTCCAACTTCTAAACTCCTGACCACGAATTTGAACGAGCAGTTAAATTTGATCTAAATAAATGGAATTTTCTCAAGCCATATCATATTGAGTTAACATTTTTAATTTATCTTCTCGCATTTTTTTATGAGTGCAAAAAGGTGTGGCTCTATATGTGGTATTATATAAAGCCTCTTGATATTATTATACACTTCGACGGTGTATAAATGTAATAACTCAACGACGTTAAAAATGGTATATTTGTTCATACTTCGTGATATAGAGCTTATAAAATTTGCTATATTTTCATAATTTACCGAAATTGAATCCATTATTAAGACACGTTCTCAAATACAATCTTAAATCGAATTCATTGCATACTAACAGTGCTTGGGCGTTTTGGTGAGTACATAAGCTGTTCGACAAATGCACTAAAATGTCGCCTCATTTTTCACCTTTCAAGCTATTGTGCTTCTCTGTGCCAGAATTTCTTCAATCTTGAATCTAAAGTCATATCCATTGTAGCTTAATTCATACTTCTCTACGAATTATTAAAAAAAACAAATTTAAATGAGTTAACATTTAATATAACTAATAACTATAACTCACGGCATAGTGAACGAAGTGCCATATTTACGTAAAAGTCTTAGTGTACCTTCATTACAATCGGGGACAACGAAATAAACAACTAACATGCTTTTCATTAATTGTGTATGATTATTGCGCGTGATTAACTTTTTACAAGCTTTGTCAGGTCGGAAATATAATATGCGCTTATAATGTATATTACTATATCTAAATAGTTCTTTGACATACATTATTCTCTGTGTACACTTTACCCAAAAGTGATTACTATTTAATTCAGTAGGACATAATGTACAGTCGGCAAGATTATCGACCGTTAGTCTTCATTGAAATAAATAATTTCCAATTACACGGCGAGGAAATTTCTAAGACAAAACAAAAGAATTTAATTTCCATTTGGATTCCCAGGACGTCGCATGAAACAGCACAAGATTAATCTGAACGTAGGAAGGTTTATTTTTAGAAAAATCAATAGCATCCTTCGTTATCCTCTGTCTGTTAGTCTGGTTAAAATTAATTCGGCAGACTCGCGAGAGAACAAGCCAAAGCGCTTTGATGTCGGTACATCCAATAAATCTCAATTAAGCGTTAAGGAAAAACTTTTAAAAACATTTGATGAAATTTCGCTAAGAATAGTGCAGTGATGAAGTGAAAAGGATGTTCGAAATTCAAAACGTAATTATTCCTGATTACTATTTTACAGCTTCGTAATTGGTTGGTGGCTAATCTGTATAGTCGAGTGCAAAAATGTTTACCAGATTCCAAATTTAATACAGCCAGAAATTTACATGTACCGATAACGTTTCGCTAGTAACGAATGCAAATGTTTGACGTTCAAACAGACTATACTTAACGGTTCATCATAACTTTACGGCAATTTAAATAATAAATTTATAAAAAGTCTAAATAATTATAAAGCCGCGATCTTATGAGGAAAATAATTTGTATAGGTTATTGAGTAGTGAAATTGAGTTGTGCATTATGAGCCATAACATGGTAAACATTCTGCACTCAACTGTACACAAGAAACAAATGACGTTGATAATTGTAAGTGCAATATTTTTCAGTGTCACCGTCGTCGAGTTGCAGTATTAGTGGTATCAATTTCGCTGGTAACGTTACCACAGTACCACATAGTCAATTGGAAATGCTAGAGGCAACCCATAGAGGTTTACACAAGTTCAATCCTAGGCACCATGACGAAATAGAAGTAGAGATTGGGGACCCTATTTATGTCCAGAAGGAGGCCGATGACTTGTGGTGTGAAGGTAAAGAACATATTTAGAATTAACACACAAATATTTGGACGAGCTCGTTCGTTGTTTTTTATTAACCATACTTTAGTTGATAATTAATGGGTCGTGGAGTCGAACGAAAGTAGGAATATCGAAATTCCATCAGAAACACAAACCACCATCAGCAGATGAACAAGTTTCAATTAGATTTTCGAATAGCAAAAGCCAAAATAGCTCGATAGCGCATCTTGTATAATTGTTATTTGGCTGGGATATTTTATCTAACATTAAGTGAACTATGTCTGTCCTCCTCTATCATAAAATAAAATTAACACGTATAAATCAAAACTTTGACTCAACTTTCATATCTAAACCCTATTTGTGTTTCCAACCAGTTTTTAAAGATTAAAATAATCCATAATAGGACCTACGAGCTCGTACTGATGTTGTTTTTAATCGTCGAAAAAGGTTTTATGAAATAAATGATAAAAAAGGATGGTAAAAACTAATCTATTTAATTTGTTTCAACAGGAGTAAATTTAAGGACAGGGCAGCAGGGAATTTTCCCATCGGCTTACGCTGTTGATATGGACTATAGTGATTTTGACCCAGCCAACGCGAAAGCAAAGCGCGAAAGATATCTACTGGGGTGAGTGACCATATATTTTTCATATATATACTGTTTTTTGACGTCGCGACACTGGGTACTAATAGAAAATTCATTAGACGAAGGGAAATAACAAATTGTTATCTTTGTATAAAATAGTGCAGAAATATTATTATATTCATAAATATACTGATAATTAATTCGTCAATATTATTCGGGAACTATTAAAAAATTACAAAAATGTAAAAGGAAAATAAAATTTTCATTTCTGACTGCAATAATGAATTTTAACTCGTTTTTTTTCATCCATTACTCGGGCTGTCTTTCAGAAAGCTATTTGAAATTTTTATATGTCCTTTTATTGAAGCATATCCTTTACCATTACCTTCATATGGTGACATACACAACAAATACTTTTAACGGTTTAATACGCGAAATATATTAGCTAACTTGTTTACAGTTTTTATGTTTTAAACCGTCCAAATCATTATATTAAATTAACGTGTTCTAATCACGTAACCTACTTCACAAATGACAGTTATTAATTACGCAATAAACTTTCAGTTACATGGGTTCAGTAGAAACTCTTGCGCATAAGGGCACCGGCGTTGTATGCCAAGCCGTTAAAAAGATTGTAGGCGACTCAAATGGAGATATTGGCTCACAGCCTTGTATTTTGGAAGTGTCTGATCAAGGTCTTCGTATGGTGGATCGATCTAAGCCAGATGTAAGTATTCAATTTGAGAATTCATGTTCCATATTTTGCAATAGCTTTACCATGTAATTTGGTGAAAAACTATAATAAGTAATAAATATTAAACGTAGGTACTTGTGTGCTGTTTGTTGTTTAGATCACACCTGTGATGTTCAAATATTATATTCATTATTTAATATTAAATAATCTATCTATATTAATGCACGGAAAAACTACTTGATTCTATTTTATGTGTACCTAAGTGCGTAAAATCATTTTCAAGATCACAAATAAGACACCATCAATTAAAAAAAGCAATATGTTTCATCATTGACCTATAAATAGAGCTATGCGTTCTTAAGCTATGTTTATAATCTTTTTCCAGCGAAATCGCAACGCACCCTGTATCGATTATTTCTATTCACTGAAGAACGTCTCCTTCTGCGCCTTCCACCCCCGGGACCATCGGTACCTCGGCTTTATAACAAAGCACCCAACGCTCCAGAGGTTCGCATGTCACGTGTTCCGTGGCCAAGAGTCTACAAGACCAGTTGCTGAAGCTGTGGGGTAAATTTCCTTTGGTTTCCTTATCTGTTCCACGCTGCACATTGCTCATATTAATATAAAAGATTAACATAGCATGATGTGATGCAATTTAGCGCGAAATTTGATTTATTACGTGATTTGTATTCAGGTTGTATCTTCAAATATATTTTGACTAAATTTATTTGTAAAACAAGAAATAATAATACATCTATACTACTTTAAAATTAGCGCTTTGGCTCAAAATTATTCTCTGTTGATAGTGGAAAACCACAACCACAAAAGAACCTAATATGAATTGCTTTTTATAGTGTATATAAAAATTAGGTATGACCTACGATTCTTCCTCTCTATTAGTTTTAATGTTAATGCAAGCAAGTAATATCAAATTTATTCTGATATAATTCTTTTATGTAAAAACAGACAGGGTACCTTTATATTTTTTTGACATACAGCCTAACACTGAAAAATATCATTCAACGATAATAATACTACATGGTATGTGTTCAATATAATATTTTCATTACCTCATGTCTTTTTCAGCGCTTGCTAGCTCTAGCGAACTGAAGGTATATCAATAAATAATCAGTGTTCTAATTTCAGGCGAGCATTCCAGAGGTTTTACCAGAAGTTCATAGAAACAGCTTATCCCATTGAGGACATTTATATAGAGTGAAGAGTTGAGGCTTACCAGCAAACACAGAGTGGAAACTGCTATTGCCAGTATTATTCATATATCGGAATCAAACACCTTTACTTAGACCTTTTACACTTACGCGTAAAACATAAAGCTTTAAAATGACTACCATTCTAAAAGGCCGAGAAGAACAGGAATGACATTTTCAACTGATTTGATCGTCATTTATTGAGATGTAATTCGTTATTTAAGAAGCTTGGAATAATTATTTCATTTTTAGCTTCATTTAACTAATTATGAAGAATGTTTTTAACATTCCAACATAAACTTATTATTTTTAAAAACTCATTATTAAGAAAGCAATGAATTGGAGTTTTTATTGCAAAATCTTAAATATACACCTTACCTACGATTTAAATTTTACTAGATTTAAAATGCTTTTGTTTATTTTAAGTTAAAACAAAATATTAAATTGACCCCCTGTTTGTCGTAAATATACATGTAGCCATCATTTATTTTAAATTTTGGGGTGTTCTATGTTTTAGTATGTTATGGGTTGTATATCGAGTATAATGCATTATTATTGATAATTAGTAATCGAAGATTCCAATAGAGGGCGTTTATAACCTTACGTTATTTTTGCTTCATGAAAACTGCATAAGATAAATAAAAGTCAGCATCGACGACTATTAATATAGCAATTTAAGTGTAACTTTCTCCATACTACAAAATTAACAATCTAACCTAACTAAAATCAAAACTAACGTAACGCTGGCTACGTTCGTGAGTATAGACAAACATCGCGTGTTGTGTCTTTGGGCCAAAATTTTAAAGACAATAATATCATGAATCCCCTCTACATATTTTCGTCTGCGTTCTAATATCGGTAGACGAGATTACATCTCGAATATTCTCCTAACACTACTTACGTAAACGGTAGACTTTTCTGTGGGCGTGTGTTGCGGGCCCTCAGTTTTTGTAATGATGATTTTCTGTGGAGCTTGAATATTTCAAAATCGTTGTTGCTGCTATGTTGCCTTGGTAATAATTACTTATTAATTATAAAGTTTACCTAAATTATCAATACAATATTATCACACGAAAGCCTTGCTATGCTTTACACATTATAATATCACTTGTTACGTGAAAGAGATTAAATATTATTAAAAATTTGGTTTCAATTATTTAAACTTTAAATATCATTTTTTTATTGTATACGTGTTATTGGAACGAGAATACTTAATAATTTCAAATTACTTTATAGTCAATTACTTATACATATTTTATCATATTATTTGCTGAGGAATCTAATAAGAATCTCAAATACTGTGATATCGTGCATAGTAATAAAATCTTATTTATAAGTTTATTTTTTAAGTACATTTCCGTTTACTTTGTTCATCGGTCTGTTATGTATTTTGATTATGTTTCAGTGATTTATTACAATTGTCAAGAACTCTCCTTATCTGTAAATAAGATGGGTATGTATAAAGGAGACATTTAGTTTTTTTTTTTAAATAAATATCATGCAAATTTTCTGAATTATTATGAAATCACGATTTGTAAATCAGTATCTAACCTATAAAAATTATATGTACCCTTGACTATAATCAAAACGTATGTAATATTTCAAACATATTGAATACTTGCGCGAAATAAAACAACTTCTAATTAAAAATCTTCTTATAGGATTTCGTTAGACATAGGAATGTTGACACACAAATCTGGTAGTTACACCGATATAATAATTCCCAGTTCTAAAAATAAGATATATTATTATTTAATTAAATTTCCACTTAAATTTATTTTTTAGTGATCACTGATTGTGTTTCTTTAATTGTACTACGTATTATGAAAAGTTATTATTTTTCTTGTGTGATTCACACATAACGTTGTATTGTAAATAGTTAAATTCTGCAACCCAAAATATTTTAAATTATTTTAAACTTTATCGCTTTCTTTATCATATTAGGCAATAATATTTTAAAATCTTTTTTTTTCGGTTAATGAACTGAGTATAATGATATGATGGTTAGAATTAAGGTGTCGTAAAATATGTAATACAATTAGGTATGTTTGGGCTTCTGACTCACTAAGTCTACATCCAAAGAATTAATTCTTGTCTTAACTCTTAGAAACCATTTTTTTTTTCAAATTTCTCTATAAATAAGAAGATTGAGTATTTTTATATTCAATGTAGCTTTCTTCGTGCCACGGTAGCATCGATCGTTTTTTTTTCTTTCGTGCGCGACGCCTCAATCTAACTTATATCATTGTATATATTTTTTTGTCAACAAAGTTGTCTTTGAACGCTGTGACTCAAACGAATGATAGAATATATTTATTTTTCCATTACTTCATAGCGAGTTTGAGACAATGTGAATTTAGGCATTAAATATATTAAGTGGGACTGATAGCTATGTTTTATTTATTGTCCAATTCTTTTCAGTGACACTCGGGATTAAACCAATATTATAATTATAAATACATATTATGATTTAATAAAGATTGTACCACAGTTGGTACAATATTGACATTCTTAAGGCAATTCTGTCAATGTTGACAAGATATTTTAAAACCTAGTGGTATTATTATGTACTATTACTTTAGAATTTTTATTATTACTTTTTATTAATGAAATAGACTTCTTTTCTATTGTTTAAAAGAAATAAAATGATTTTGGTTCTAAAAAAGATTATTTATTTTTAAATGCATCTCTACCGAGGTAAAACTAACAATAATTATTAAAATGTAGTATAACGCCATCTAATGAATACTTTTAAAACTACTTTGTGTGTCTTTCTACCATAAAATGTAGAGATGTCGCTAGTCGTTGTTTCGTTTAATTTCAAAGTTATGAGAGAAAACTTTTGTGAGAAGTTTAAAGTTTGAAACGAACTGTAAACTAATGTCGTAAGCTGGTTAATAGTTTCAAAAGCAACTATAAATTTTATTAATAAGTCTAGTCCTCCGAAAATTATTATTTTACTAGTGACATAGAGAGAGCTGTAGTTTTGCATCGTAGGTTTTTTCGAGTGATAGTAGAATTAAAACTACATATTAGTCTTTTGTTATTATTTTAACAGTTTTAATCAATTCCACACATGTATCTTTCCCTACTCAACTTACCTTTTTTATAGAAGTCAAGTCACTTTCGTAAAATAATTGCAACGGAGAACGTAAATTCATAAAAGCGTTACCTAATATTGGAATAGGAATGTGTGGTAAACTTTGAAGTCCTAGGTTCGATCTCCAGTTGACTGAATGCAATTATAATTTTTTTATTTATAGCAAAAGAACAATAGTTCCAACAAGTATTTTAGATTAAATGAAAAACATACGACAGGCGGGATTGACTACAAACGTAGATAATGTATATATCACAAACACACATTATCTAGGTTTCATTCTGTTTTAAGCTGCTAGAGTTTACAATGAATTCGTTTATTATTTTGATATATAAATATATATAAATAAGCCCGAGGATATGAGATTTCTAACGCGCAAATGGTCCCGCGTTCGATTCCCGCTGACACATACGTTTGAACAGGGAACAGAAGTCTAAATAATATTAATTAGCGTGACAGACACACAACTGTGCCCTCCCCGCGCCTTGCACAGAGAAAAATGGGTTTTACTTTAATGCGTAGAATAAAAGAAATTATTTATATAACTTTATTGGATCACAGAACTAAATTTCGTACATTGTAACTACACACATATTTTAAAGTTATTCAGTTTGAGCAACATCTTATTCACACCAACACCATAAAAAATATAATAAAATCAATTAGGGTAATCACATTAGGGAATATGCATGTATTTATATAATTTTCCTCATAAAAACTCACATGAAAGCAAAATCCATCATACACATTTATTTGAAAGAATAATTAAATATTTTCCTATAAATTATAATCACAAAAAGAATTTCCATATTAAAATATACGTTGAGCAATTTCACGCATATTCCCAACCATTAAAACTCCATAACAATCATCAATTTGATAATGAAATGACGTGCGGATTAATTATCGTTAAAATTTAAATTCAAATCGTTATTATATGAATTCAGTATTCTGTCCGCGTAAATTGAGAGTGGGTTTTTAATATCAATTGAATTACGGTTAACATAATGCACCATAGAGAATTATTTACCGAAAATAAATTGCCTATGTTACAAAATGGAGTAACAATTTTTAAACTAGGGTAGCATAAAATATGTAAAAACGTACTCCTTTATTCAGAACTCGAAATTTTGTGTAGAATCCACGGATAATCTCAGAATTCTTAAGAGAACAGTGTTGTATTCACTATTAATAAAAAAAATAATAAATATAATACTACTGAAATATGGGACTAGTTATAGTAAATTTAATTTTCATTAAAAAATTTTTTAACTAAAACTCGGACATTCTCTAAGTTTTTTTTTTATTTTATTATGTAGCCCATTCTGAAAATTATAATCGCCATAGCTTCTATTGTTTTTTCTGAAAAATAAAATAAAAATCGACACCGGCGGGACTCGAAAAGAGGAGGGATCACTCTAGCAATGTCTGATGCTCTATCGGTTGAGTACGACACGTATCTATACTAATATTAAAAAGCTGAAGAGTTTGTTTGTTTATTTGAACGCGTTTATCTCGGGAACTACTAGTTCGAATTAGAAACCCGGGAAGGCTTTAGGTTGCGACCCGCGAAGAAACATTGGGAAATGTGGAAAACACGATGAAAATTATCAGTTTTAAGGGCTTCCTTTGCGTGAATTACTAAAACGGAATTGTTCTTCTTTAAATAATCTAAGCAATGTTCGCGACAGTATATTTCTAGCTTTTAAGATTAACTCACAAGAAACGTTTTTGTGGAAGTTCATATTGCAAAAAAAACATGTGCCAGGTCAGCTAGTAATTTATATAAAGCTTGAAAAAGTCAATAATATTACGTCCAAAATAACTATTCTGCGAAGTCACGGGCACATGTAGTCTATCTATAACATCAAAATGACGTCACAATTTATAAACTGCAAGTTCGCATACCGA